ACCTGACAAGTGATAAATGCAGGAATTACTATATGCACTTTAGTGGTGTTTAATGCACCATCTCAGGTTGAATTGAATTGATTATTTTTTAATGTAAGTTAGCACTAGTCTCGTTTCATTTTCTTTAAATTTATGCCTCGGGCTAATGCAGATATTCACAGGGTAGTATAATGCTTTAGGTACAAAGAGTATCTTGAAGAATATCTTATCCCCCCTCCTTTTCCGTGCTGGAGCACACAGGAAACACAACAGATACGCTGTGCATCCAAACTTCCAGCCTTATATGCTTTTAAAACTGAAAGACTTTGTGACTGCGTGTGGGCGTCAACCTTTTTTTGCAAGAGCTTATTTACTTGCTCTAAGTGCTAATTTTCCAGCTGAAAGAGTTTTGGGATCAAACACTGAGTTTTTGGGTTCCCTGTGTAGAAACGCTCCTTGAACTTGCAGTACGTTCCTTAACTGAAGGCCAGAAGAATGTCGCTTGACTGGACTTTTCTCAGAAGCATCTTCTGAATGATTTTCTCCACGTCCACGTTTCCACTCTCATTCATAATTCCAACACACACTCCAGTGAGTCTGAGAGCTCCTTCGCTGACTTGTCGACAGCTGGCGGAGTGCCACCTTGAAAGACACAGACTGGGTCCAGCTCCTCGGTCTCCCTCTCTTTTCTCTTTCTCTGCCAAAAGATGTGGTTTCACATCAAAGACAAAGACCACACACACACACACACATACACTCACACACACACAGAGGAGTAATAATGGCCTAAGATGTACTGCTGTATTAGAGGGAGGTTAGAGGAGATGACAGCAAACCTCATTAAGACTTCATTCAGTCTGAAGGCAAGTGTGCATGGACCAGGAAAAAAACAGAGCCAAGGACGATAGGGATCGATTAGTGAGTGCACAGTTGTGTGTGTGTGTGTGTGTGTGTGTGTGTGTGTGTGTATGGTAGAGTCCAGTCGAGCAGTGGTGTTCTTGTGCACTATCTGTGGCTGAGAGAATTAGGAGAAATAAATGAATACATATTCTTATGGCTTTTGATGAGTCACAACTTTGGACGACCGTGTTGGACGCCGTGCATGATTGACAGCTAGATCATCAAAAAAGAAATTGGCCAAAGTGAACCTTGCTGACAATGGCCATCTTTATAATTGACAGTCAGTGATTACTTTTTTTTTCAGTTGCAACTGTCTTTGTCCGTCTCTTTTGTCATTCTTAGTAACCGACGATAATCATTTCCATCAAGTCCACGTGTCATTATAACTTCTGAAAATTGACCTAGTACGCTATATAAAAAGTCACCCGACAATAGGCTGGAAAATCTTTTTTTTTAATTTTTACCCAAATGATCAAACCTAGGCAGAATCAGTGTCCTCTGACATGTGGACAGTCTGACACGTCTACACGGTTTGTCCCTCTTACACAGTCTTTGATTCACGTTTAAACCAGAAACCCACAGAGAAACAGCATGTTTGTTGACAACGGGAGTTAAGCGCACACTCACAGACAACAACACACTGTGCAAACATTCAAGAGAAAGGTCACTAATCTCTCCGCTGTATACTTGTTTATGTCGAGAGCACCGTCTCCCTCCTCATCAAAGACACCTCTCTGGGAGTGTGACTGCATATCTGTCCACACTTGTCTCTGAATGCCACAAACCTGCCTATTTATGTATGACACATGCACTTGCATACATTTTAATAGCCACTCGAGTCACGTCAAGCACATATTTGCAGCGTTATCTAATTTTCCTGGGAGCTCATGCTTCTCCCCCCCCCCTCCATCACCTTGTTTTATTGCCAAATCACACCTATTGATAGCGAGAGAAGTGAAGTGATGGTGAGCACAGTGTGTGGCCAAGAGCCGATGAAAAGACCCAATCACACGTCTGCCATAATGGAGTCATCGGCGTCTCTTAATGATGGAATTGAACGCTATTGAAAAAGTAAACAGAGGATTCACTGATTGCTCAGCGCACTAAGACTCTCACATTTACTCAGACGGGGGAGTGTAGAAGCAGAGACGGCTCTTGAGCAGGGCAGAGAAACTGATCTGATAAGTGTCCAAGATCTACATGTTTGACCGATCAAGTCTGCCGAGGTCAGAGGACATCAGTAGGTTTAAAGACGCAGTTTGATTAATCTAAGAGCGTTGGATGTTCTGCAGGAACTAAGTGGGGTGAGATTTAGGGCGTAATGTTTCAAAAGAAAAACTTGTCCAATTAAAGATAAGTGGTGTGGCAGTCAGAATGATGACTAATGATTTTCCTGTAACAGCAAAATGTATGCCGGACATTTAAAGGAATAGACAAAGATTTTCCAAATGTTCACTAACTTATTTAACCAGGTTAAACGTCTCACTGAGATTAAGATCTCTTTTACAAGTGAGACCAGACCAAGATGACGCCTAAGAGATTCCACATAGAAATCAGACAGTACAAAAAGTATCAACAGTACACACATATTCTTAAACTCAGCTAAAGGAGCTGCAGACACCAAGAGAATCTCTCTCCTCTCTCTCTCTCTCTCTCTCTCTCTCTCTCTCTGTGTCTCAGGATGCAGCAGCAATCTCTCTCTCTCTCTGTGTGTGTCTCAGGATGCAGCAGCAGTTGGTCCAAACAATAGCCTAAACACAAATCTTAACTTTATGATAACAGTATTAGATTAAATGATAATGATTAAAATGTCCTGAAAATAAATTTAAAGTACCTAAAAGGTACCTAAAAAATTTAAAAAACAAAAAAACATTTGACAGTGTTCTACATCGACAGGTTAAAAAAGCAAAATAAATAAATCCTGATTTTTTTTTAAACAGCTTTAATATTCCTCTGGAGTTTAAGTGGGTGTAAGACGCTGTCACATCTCCAGTGCCATTAGCGTCTTCATTTACTCTTATGGCTCTTTTACTGTCTTATTTAAGCGTCCTCTCATGCAGTGATTCTCTGTCCAGTCTACTCTCTGAGCCCACTCATCCCTGGAAGCTTTTTTCTTCTTACTGACACCCTTTGGCTTTCCTTTGTTCTCTGGTTTCAATGTGTCAGGGCTTGTTGTCCGAGATTCTGCGCAAAGAAGAAGATCCCAAGACGGCATCCCAGTCACTGTTGGTCAACCTGAGAGCCATGCAGAACTTCCTGCAGCTGCCTGAAGCTGAGCGCGACCGCATTTATCAGGAGGAGCGGGAGCGAAGCCTGACGGCCGCCTCTGCCATGGGCTCTGCTCCACTCATTAGCACTCCACCCAGTCGTCCTGTGCAGGTGAAACACTCTGAATAACTGTGTGGTTTTGAGATAAACTTAAAGATTGAACTAGAGATTTAGGAAAACTCTTGTTAACTTGATGGAATGAGGTTTAAGGCTGAAGGGGATTCAGAGTTTGTCTTTGTAACACGTGCCAGTTCATTTTGAGGTTTGTTGGATTACTATAACAAGAGAGATCAAAGTACCTAACAATACTGCAGTAATGTGCGTGTTAGACAATAATTTGCACACCATGAGTCAAAGAAGGTCAAGATATTGGTAAATATTTCAAAAAAACAAACAAAAAGATTACCAAAGGAAGACCAAAAAGATGTTAAACTTATCCAAATATAACAATAGCCAAGGTTAGCCAAAAGCTAGCTAAAATAGCTAAAAGTAATTAAATAAAATTATTAATTTATTAATTAAATTAAAATGTTTGCCCAACAGTGACAAAAGGGTGAACGTTAGCTAAATGTTATTCTAAATGATGCTGCTTTATACCACCAACCGTTCTGCATATTTCATACTTAAATGAGAGGTTTTTAAAACAAAGGTAAAAGTTTTCAAATAAAAGGTTACCACAGAGAAAAGAAAACCTGAAGGTACGTTTTAGGACAAGGTTCAGTGGAAAGTTACATAAATTTAGAATTCAAAGAAACAAATGCCCTTTAAAAACATTTTAATGTGTGGTAATAGAATTACGCCAAAAAGAAAAACATCCAACATTTAACAGTGAACTTATGAACTGCTCTTCGGTGGAGGAGGAGAATTTGTACGGCACAAACAACAAACACAGCAACACACACGTACTCATTAGTTCAAACACAGTATTTACAAGAGTAAACAACAGTAAGTATGTGCAGCGGGGCCACGCCTGCATGTTGTTTGTCCACATGCTTCACATTCCCCTCCATTGTATTACTCTTTATCTTATATGTCTAATAAAGTCAGTACATAGAGAATTAATTGTATTTTCCCAAGCAAGGAGAAAAATGATCCTTTATGTTTTCTTCTCACTAGCACAAATGACGGGCTTTTTTTTGACCTTTCAAATATATTAGGCAGCGTTAGTGAATTATTTTATTCAGTGATAACGAGCAAAGTAAAGAGAAGACATTGTTTTATCAGAACTTCCTTTTAGAAACACTTGGTTCCACAGAACAAACTGTAAATGGAAAACTAGAAAGTTTCTGGCAGTACGGTCCATTTAAAGTGCAGTCAGCTGCGTCAAGGAAGGAACAGGGACAGACAAAGGTCTCCTCTGTCGGCTTCTCTCCTTGGTGATGATTTGGATTAAAGTGAGGAGCGTAAGACAGACCCAGGAAGCTCAAACATGGAGCCTCCCCTGCAGTTGCTTTTTCTTAATTTAACTGAAAAGGTCTTATCCTGGAGCAGTCAACTAGAGCAGTGCTTGTTTAACCATTAATTGTGAGACATTGATGAATTCATTTTAGAGTGACCAAACTAAAAGTTTCTTTCAGAGGAGGCTTCCATTATCTATTGCTAAGTTAAAACAAGTACACTTTGAAAGACTGTGTGTTTACTTCTTTCTCGATATACAGAGAAAACTGTAGTTTTTAGTACACGTAAAGACGTTCTTCAATTAGTAAAATTATATCTAATCTGAATTAGGTGTTAACCACAAAAACAGCTATGGAGTCCTATTACATTATTTATCTTTTTTTTTCTATTTTAGCTGTTAAGGTTAACTTACCTGCACTGGTGTTAGTCTATAAATCCATAGCTAGCAAAAATAGTAACTATGTTTTATCTAATAATTCTTTCCGATATTTTTCATTTTTCTGGTCTAGCACCATCCACTAGTTATTTAGCTTAAGGTTTCTAACAATAGCTAGCATGCTAGCTTTTGCGTCAGTCCGTCTTTTCTCTATCTACCTCTCGTTTATGTGTCGTGTGCTTCTCTTCCTTTA